TTATATTCGTGGAGCACGAACAATTTACATGAGGGAAGAATTGCATCTTTAAGGTTAAGAACTTATAACATTGAAGCTTTTAGAGTTTGAGAATATAGTTTACATTTTCCATTTTATAATTTTAGAATTCAAATTTTTTATCAATAGTGATAATATCTAAATTCGGTCGATCTGAAAGTGAAGATCAATTATTCAACATTCATTCAACAGTACTGTGTGTCTTCATTATTGAAGTTAACATATGGGAATGACATGCACTTTGCAATGTGAACTCCGAGCCGATTGTGGAATACTTCTCTATCTCACTATAATTATCTCCTTTTTTTCTTTTTCGCCTGCTCATTAACACTACATAAAAACAACTAATTGACAAAGTTTTTTGATAGAGATTTCCCAAAATCGGTAAGAGTTTTGGCAGGATTATGCTAAATCGTGCTAAAAACAATTTTGCACGAGCTATTTGACACAAAATCATCGATAAATCCGTTCGAGTCCCGCCATTTTTTGTAGTGTAAATTTGTCTCATACGAGTATCATATATGGAAATATTTGTGTGACTCTAATGGATTTTTATTTTATTCACACTTTATAAATTCATTTATCCCACTCCTAAAGGGACATTAATACTCCCCCAGTCTCTTATAACTAGGGGTGAGCATAAAACTTAAACTGAACCGGTACCGTACCGGTCCATAATGGTACCGAACCGAATATCGGGTATTTAAACGCTTCTATGAATTTTTATCCCGAACCAAAACCGTACCGTTTGAAACGGGTACGAGATCGGTCCTAGATTTTGAGAACCGAAAAATACCGGACTGGACCGTTCAAAAATAATGCATTTGAAGTTTTTATATTTTCTTCCATACCAATAAATATATTTTATAGACCAACAATTTTCTACCCAAATATGCATTCATGTGTCCCTAAAATAGCTAAATGTGTGTGTTTATATGTATATTGTTGTTTCTTCTTTTTAGATAATTTTGTGTTATATTTTGGAATGTATTGAAAGAATGTTAAAGTGTTAAAAATCATTAATGACTATTCATTTCTAGTAATGTAGTGTATATGACATTTTGTTATATCATGTTTGTGCAATTGTACAACTTAATTAATATAATTTAAATCTTAGCTCTCACGGATCAATTATAAATTAAATTAGAAGTAATGTTTAACTTGGAAATATCTCGTGTATCATCATTTTGTTATACTTTTTCGTAGTTGTGTTGCACAATTTGTGTATTTATGAATTTTAGTACTGCGTATGCAATTTCTTGTATTTATACCAACACTTAATGTGAGTTGGTTGGTGTGATGTTATTTACTAATTGCCAAATTTGTCCAATTTTTTAGCATGTGTTTGGCATTGTACCGTACCGTTTTGTACCGTTCCGAAATGACATGGTACCGAATGGTTCCATCCTTAGAATCGGACCGTACCGGACCGACGGGACCGTTATAAACCTCATAGATACATTACGGGTTTTACTAATTTCCTGGACCATTCCGGACCGCGACCACCCCTACTTATAACTTTGCCAACTTTTCTTTTTGGATGTCCCACTAACTTTGCCACTTTCCCTTTTAAGTAAAGAATTTATGGTTCCGGTTAATAGGGACTAACTACTATACAACAAATGAAATACACGATTTGAAATTCGACAAATGAATGATACAACGGCGGGCCCCACACCACGAGCTGCATCCACATTTGTTCATATACTGTGCAATTGGTCGGCTTCAGCGAGCGGCCCCTCCATGCCATTAATCCTCTATCAGGCCAGCCCGGGTGCAAGGGAGAAGTAATACATGGGTACTTTAACTATTCTTGAATGAGACACTTAGATTGAAATTCATCTAAAATAGGCTCGCAAAAAAGCAATTTATTTAAAATGGGTCAATTTTTAATAGCAGCAGACTGCGGTGTGAGAGTTTCAACCTATGTGATGACTTCTTGTGCATACTAGACCGTTAACCACTTTATTTCGAAATTATTTTAGATCATATTGTGATTCACTACTTCACCATTCTATCGTATTATGATTCGAGAGTGCTTGTGGTGAGGAGTTCCTCCTTTTTGAGTTGACTAGAGTCAATAGCCATCCGGTAGATTTTACGGTATTCATGTTGGGGCCATATTTCCGTTGGTAGCTAGCCGTTGGCTCCACTTTCTGAGGCAGGGACGTAGCCAGGGGCATACTAGGCCTTGATAGTTCATCCTGAATTTTGAAAAAGCTTTAATTTGATCGTGTGTGTAAAAAATTACTCCGTATGTACAATGGGGCGTAGTTATGTAAAAACATCCATAGTAGTGATAATTAGGCCTAATCTGATCTGGTCTGAGACTGAAAATAGTCCAAGTAAAAACATCCATAGTAGTGATAATTAAAATGTTGTATTTATTGTTTGCGTTGTCACACTACTAATACAATTGTGCAAATGTGTGGGGCGTTTAGAATTGATTCTGCGCTTCTGCTTTTTTTAAAGAGAAATAAAATGAGAATTAGTTTTTCAGACGTTGGTATCGCCAACTTCTATAAAGTTATTTCCAGGAGCAATTTGGAGCGCACCTAGAAGTGCTTTTGTAGTTTTATCAAACGCTCCAATATCTGCTTCTTCTCCCTGAAGTAACATAAACAATTTTAAAAAGTAGATCCAAACACCCCATAATGTGATTCAGGAGCTAGTCAATGATCACATGTAACACCCTCAATATGAACTTATTATCCAAAAACCGGTTTGGTTTTGAGATTGTGGACTTCGAGTTAATCATTTTTTCATTTCTTAATTCGTTATATGCAGGGGTGGAGCCAGGACACTGGGCCGGACTAGACCGGTACAAAGAATATTTTTAGAATTTTTTTTTACACAAACCTTTTTACACTAAAAATATAGATATTTTTTAAATTTGGGGTGAGCCGCGGCGGATCCCTATATCTTACATCCGGGTGTACGGTCCCCACCGTACATCCGGTCCAATTAAGGAAGACAGTGACCCATTAACTAATACATCCCATAATCAAAAAGTCCTTTTTTGAGGCGAGACATTTTTGTAATTTAAGAGAAAAATCACGGATTTCGCTAAATGAGCATTAGTGTGCTTTTAGTGACCATCTGACCTATTCTACTGAGTATTAAGAGCCTAACAATGAGCATCACGATCTCTGCTTCATATCTTCTAATTCACTTTATTTTTCTTATTTTTTCTTTTATAAAAACTTATTAAATTATATCTATAATCCACTCATATGAATTTCAATATTTGAATGTAATGTAATATGCTACTTTTGCACTACTACATTTTTAGACCTAATGTAACATTAATGATGTAACATATCTATAATAGTGTTACTTATTTCTCTAATGTAACACTTTTTAGACCTAGTGTAACACTTTCTAGAAGTATAAGTGTTACATTAGGTACTATAAAGTGTTACAATAGGTCAAATGCAACACCAGCAAATGTAATGGTAAGAAAATGTTACATTTTCTCTATTGTAACACTTTTCAGAGAAAATGTAACATTGTTTTACCATTACATTTGCTGGTGTTGCATTTGACCTATTCTAACACTTTATAGTACCTAATGTAACACTTTTACTTCTAGAAAGTGTTACACTAGGTCTAAAAAGTGTTACATTAGAGAAATATGTAACACTATTATAGATATGTTACATCTCTATTGTTACATTAGGTCTAAAAATGTAGTAGTGTTGATATGCCAATTTACAAATGAGTATAAAAATCTATACCAAATGAGCAAATGTAACTTACAAAATACGCATTGATATGAAAATCGTGATATTTGTTAGTTGAATATCACGACATTTTCATTATGCATCAAACTCCTCTCTTGAGATGAAAATCATGGTTTCTGTTGAATGAGCATTAATGACCTTTTAATTAGCACCAAACCTATTTTGTTGAGTATTATGAGTCTAATGTTAGTTGAACATCATTATATCTGCTTCAGAACTTTTAATTCACTTTCTTTTTTATTATTTTCGCTTTAATAAAAATTTCTTAATTTATATCTATAATCAACTCTTATGAATTTCATGATGTGAATCTAATGTCATATGGTACTTTCGAAATATGCATTATATGACATTTTAAAATGAGTATACCATCACTACCAAATGAACATACGTAGCTTACAAAATGAGCATTTATATGAAAATTATAAGTTTTGTTAGTTGAGCATCAAATATCCGATATTGAGTACTTGAATCACGCGATCAAGTATCATGATTTGTGCTCACGTGTTTATAATCAACTCCTATGTGAATCTAATGTAATATGGTACTTTTGACATATGCATTGATATAACATTTTAAAATGACTAAATGAGCATACCAATGTTAGTGAATGAACATACATAATGTACAAAATGAGTATCTAAAAGTTCAAAAAAACTTTTGTATATTTTCATCCTTTTAGGCGTATACTCATTTGAGTTTAATATAAAACTCATTTGAGATCAATAGCAACAAGGATTCCTCAGCAACGAAGTAGACTCTCATTGTATCCGAAAATCAGAAGCTCAATCGGCAACATCTCAAACTCGAACTCAGTCTTCGACCTCCAGCCTGTCGCGTGATCAGAAATCATCAATCATCGGCTCAAGCGGTCATCTCCCAATCTTTCCCTTCTGGTAGCAACGACCAATAACGACAATCTCAAGTGCGTGCGATCTTCAGAATCAATGACGGCGATAACATCTCAATTTCTGACGGCGTCAACGGTTACCTGAGCAGCAACGATGGCTCTCCTGAACTTTGAACCATGGCAGCAGATTATACGAAGAATATGACTGGCGAAAAAAAGGGCTGAAAATAACCTACGCACGTTTGAGGAATCTGGGAGAAGAGTAATATTGAAAGCCTTAAAGTTCATCCGAGTGTAAGATATGAATTGCTGACAGTGGCCTAGGTTGACCCCCTAGCTACGCCCCTGGTTATATGATTTATATTAATTATAAATGATATAAAAACACTACTCGTAAAAAAGTGAAATGAAAATTTTGAGTTATTTGTCATGGGATTGATTCCTTATTTCCCTATTCTTTTTTCTTCTTTGAGATAAATCAAACCATATGGAGCGATCATAAAGTTGGGCACGAAATTATACGGAATAGTGAGTATGATTATGTTCAATTTTACGTTATACGGAAATACAGAATAGCCAACGAGTATACTTAAATATTTCAGTAATATTTCACGAGTAATATATCACATGCATGTCATAAAATTAAACATTATCATAAGAATATGATATGATATGAAAACTTCTAGATCTATATATATAGTGCCCACCACATTAAGTAATCAGTTCGGTAGGCTTTCAGCAGCTTCTGCTCTGTCTGCAATTCTTGCCTTTGGCCTTTACACGATAATAATTATAATAATAACTCACCTACATATATGGATGGAAATATGAAGGAGAAAACGATGAAGAAAGCTCCTGAAAATGGAGGAGCTGATCAGAAGGAGGAAGCAGCTAAAAATGGCAGAATTAAAAAGCTTGGGGGCATTAAAACAATGCCATTCATTCTTGGTATGTAACCTTTCATGATTTTCAACTTCTTTGTAGTTTTATTTTCTATGTCCAGAAGTCCTGGAGTTCTATTTTTGGTATGACTGGAGTAAAATTGTAAGAACGTATTTTCTTTTCATTTTTTTGATTTTTTATTTGTGAGGTAAATTACTGGCAGATAATTGAATGAACTTGACTAATTTGAAATATTCTTCATACAAGGAGTAGTTTTATTGTTGGCGTTAATTCGGATTTGTAAACTTAGACTATTTTAATTATCAATTTAATTTATAGTATACTCCGTATTGTTTATTTTTATAATTAATTTTATTCAAGATCGTTTTTAAGAGGTTGCTCAAAAGTGGTTGGATTATGAATTTGAGCACGTTCAAATGACTTTATTTTTCAACTTATCAACCAACTTTTTTCATTAAATGTGTAACTTTTTATTTTGCGCGCTGAATTATGTAATAATCAAAATTAGTAAGGTTGAATTTATTTTTCTTGCTAGATTGGCTGAAGTTAGATCATTTGAGCTATTTATTCATATACAATGTTTTCTTTATTTTATTAATAAAATATATTTTAATTTTCTATTTATATAATTTAGCACAGCTAATCTAACTGCTTTGGACAAAACTTTAAATTTCAATATAATCAAGAGAATATTACCTGAAATGGGACTAAAACAATATGAAAATTCCAAAATAGGATTGTAATGTTTTTATTCCCAGAATATGATTAATTACTGTCATGTTTTGGTAGTACCAGTCTTCAAACATGACAATATTTTCTAAACATGACAGTAATTAGTCATATTTTGGGAATAAAAAACATGACAGTCCTATTTTGGAATTTTGAAACTGTTTTAATCCTGTTTTAATCAATCAATTTAGTCAATTTGTGTGTTATTAAACTAGCTCATAATTTATTCGGATACAATCATAATGAACTAGTACTTTTAATAAGCTAAACCATGAAGAAAAATATGTAGGTTAATTATTATGAGAGAATTATTATTTTTGCTTGAAACCTCAAAGGAGGTAATCCTTAAATGATCAAATATTTAATTCGGATAGGAGTAAGTTTGGTGTTGGAAATTTCTTTAAGTGTAGATCTAATTAGATGCTCTCTGTTCTTCTCAATTGAGGATGATTATGAAATTATCTCATTTTTTGGTAGATTTTATGGTACCCATAAGGTATCATACTTCGTCCATATGGACCAATCAGAATGTTTCAATTGAATTATTTAAATCTAAATTAAAAATGGTATAATGATTGAGTTTTTTCCCATGGAGGGGTGTTTTTCAAACTTATTTCCCAAACAGGGATATTTTTTGCCATGTCACCTTAGTATCACTGCTGGGCGCCACATCAACTTATCCACATCATCCCATCAATTCCATGTCATCAATTTTGAGAGTTTAGGTGTGCTTCTAAAATATAGAAAAAAAGCATGTATGTGAACCACTACACTACACCATCCACTTGTTAACAAATGCCTTTTAAGATGTATAAATCATGTATCCTTCATCCCGTGAGTGCACTATTTCTTAATCGCGTGTATTATTCGTTCCTTTAGAAATATCTCTCTTTACCAAACAATAAAAAATGTAATAATAAAAAACTGAATTTGAGTTATTCAATTAAAAATCTTATTAAAACTTATAATAAAAACATAATTTGCTAATTTAATTTGAAAAATAAAGAAATATTTAACTTAGAATACAAAAAATTAATCTAAACTTATAATGACAAAACACAATTTGGAATATGTATTTTTTTAAATAACTTAGCTTCAAATGAAATAAAATCAATTAAAATAAAAGTCATATTTCTAAGTTACTTATTTCTAAGTTACTTATTTCATGAAATTTACTTATTTTTTATTTTATTTACTTTTGAGTTATTTCAAATAACTTTTAAATTATATACTTCAATTTTTTATAAATTTAAATTACATTTTTATAGAATTAAATATCGCAAACTAAGCTTTTCGTTGTGATTATTTCATTATAGCAGCTCAACTCTTCTGGACCCGGTTCAATTTTCTCATTGATTATTATTGTTTCAAATTCAAATACAACACTCAAATTTGAACTAAATTGTAACATGTTAAATTTTAGTGAAATTTGAAATACAAATACTTTAAGTCCAAGAATGTATACATTTAGCTGTGTATTACTCATTGCTTTAAAAATATATAGCTTCTTTTTAAAATAATTAAAAAATTACGCAAAATACTAGGTTTGTGATAATTAAAAACAAAGACTTAATTAAAATTTATTGTTACTAAATATTATGAAAGGCTCTATCCCACCCCAATTTAAAATCAGATACTATTCATGTCAAGAAAATCATTTAATATTTTATTTAAATGTGTATTGGAGTTGTCATCTTTTTTCATGAATGTCTCTCTAGTTGTATCTTTATTGTAATTAATCCGCAGCCTGATATAATTGCTGTTTTAGAAAATTGTACACTTTAAGAAATATTGTAAAAAGATTTTTCTGCATGTCATTATTAAAATTTAAAATGCTGCTATATTTTTCAAAAGACTTTATTTTTTGGATACAGTACAAAAGACTTTATGCGATAAGAAGTTAAGAACCAATGCGAAAAAAATAAAATATTCATTGACTTCACGAAACGGCAATATTTTAATTAGGGATAAAAGAAAGCGATAGTAAACTTAATTGCTTTCTATTGTTTTCCAATTACTTGAATTATTATACGTACGGACAATTTGAATGGAGTATGGACCATCGTCCCATTTTAAACAATTATTATTAAGTTATCACGTGGTACTACTTACAAGTTTGACATGTAATGTTTTTAAATTTGTACCGATTAAAGTGATGATATCAGACTTTAATAGTTTAGACCGCATCCAATCAGACATAGACAAATTATACTAGATCAGGTCAGAATATGACAATTATAAAATACAAATAGTCCAAACTTTTAACAAATCAAACCAGTTCAGACTAAATTAGATTAAATCAGGCTTAAACAGATGAGATAAGACTACGTACAAAATTTCAGTTCAATTAAAAGCACTCCTAATGTCTTATGAATTAATTGTATACAATCATTTGTCTTTAGCTATGATAGTCCTAAATAGAACTATATTAATCCCTATATGTCCAAATAGGAATATGTTATTTATCTTTTCAAAATAAGACTAAAGTATACCTTATCTTCCTATTATACACTTATCATATACTCCCTCTGTCCTTTAAAACTTTGTCAAGTTTGACTGACACGAAAATTAATAAAGTAAAAACTATGTGGTAGAGGTTTGTGCAAATGAGAGAGAATTGATTGTAACCACAAATTCTTTACTTAAAATGGAAAGTGGCAAATTTAGTGGGATATCCATAAAAGGAAAGTAGGCAAATTTTTAAGGGACGTAAGAAGTATAATTTAATAGGATAATCATATTTTAATTTTTACTAAATACAAAAAATAATAAAAAATAATGTAACTTATAAAAAAATCGAAAAAAAAATTAAAATGTTTTACAAAATACTAAAGTATGGAGGCCTTTCCCACATATAAAAAAGTTAAAACATAAGTAGTACGGAGTATAAGATAAAACACATAAAAAAGTATGGAGGCCTTTCCTACCGCCTGAGTAACTGCACATCCATGTTACCTCCGATCGACTACAAAAATCTCATTTAGTGTAAAAATGTCATTTCTCTCTAAAAACCATGAATATGACATTTTACTCTTTAAAAATGTCAAAACTTTCTTGAAAAGTGTCATCAAGGTGGCATTTTTGACACATGTTGGCATTTTTTCCCGTGATTGGAGCTGGAGGTGCTGGGAGGTTGGTGAGGTGGCAGCATAGCCAACATGTTTTCTTTCATGGTTTTCATTTTTTATTTATTTTATTTTACTTTTTAAGTTTTTTATTTTATAATTTTTAATTTTTCAAATTTTATATTTTTATTAATCTTATTTAATATTATTCCGTTTTTTTATTTTTTAATTTTTTTAGTATAAATAAAATTTTATTACTACTTTTATATTTTAATTATTAATGAAATATGAATTGTATTAAAACAAAGCAAGGACAACGGTGGAAAGCTAGTCCTATTTAGAGAATATTTGATTTATGATCCTATTTTGACAATTAAAGTTTCATTTAATCCGGATTCACTCTTGCTTTTATCTAAGAAAAAAGGTGCAAATAGGTCCATGTACTAACCAAAAAAGGTCAAATAAGCCCTTATTTAGGAGGCTCTGTCCGTCCGTCGTCATTTGGAGTGGTTCCTGGTGGAATTTTTTGATGAAATTTCTTGAGCATCTTATTCATCAAGTCTAGTTTACTCATACCAAATTTCATCTAAAACTTCAATCGGGAAGACATTCAAATGAATTCTTGAAGATAACTGCGATTCTAACTGCACAGTTATTTTCAAGAATTCATTTGAATGCCTTCCCCAATGAATTATTAGCTGAAATTTGGTATGAGTAAACTAGACTTGATGAATAAGATGTTCAAAAAATTTCATCAAAAAATTACATTGGGAACCATCCCAAATGGCGATGACCTTACAGAGCCTCCTAAATAAGGGCTTATTTGACCTTTTTTTATTAGTATATGGGCCTATTTGCCCCCTTTTCCTTTATCTAATTAATACCAAAGTTTGTACTCCGTATTTTTTATACGGAGATATCGAAATTAGTTTGGTGTAAATATTTATGATACGTTCTTTTGAAAAATAGTCTGATGTAATTTAATATAGTCGATTTAATATGATCCGTTCAAATAAAAGAAAACAAGCACACCATTTCTCGCTAGCCTAGTCTTGCATGATATGATTACCAACAATTTAAAGTGGCCAAGTGGGTGCCCTTTTACATCTATAATGACTTTGCTTTTACATCTATAATGACTTTAGAACTTTGATTTGATTAATAATCAATACATTTTAAAAATAGGTAGTACTACCTCCATTCAACTAATATTGGGATGGAAGAACGTGTGACAGTTATTAAAGTGAGTTTATGTGTTTGATATTAATTGATAAAGTAAAAATAAAGTAAGAATTATTTAGACTCACACAAAGCTTTACCGAAATTGGTATAAGACAATTTTAATAAGATTTGATGAAAATGTAAAATGAGACAATATTAATGGAATACTTAATATTTAATTTAGTACTAGTACAATTTGAGCACAATAACTAATTAGCTAGGTTCATCACACTCACATAGGGATGACAACGGGGCGGATCGGGGACGGGTACACATAAAACCGAAACCGCCCCGTTGGATAAATGTTTGCCTCAAAATCGCCCCATTACCCGTTCGGGTAATTTTTATTTGAATCGTACCCGCCCCAACGGGGAATTGGTTTATCCACGGGCACCCCTTTGTCCAAATGATACCAAATAACAAATTTCTAGCACTACTTATTAATGTAAACGTCCTTCGTAGTAAATTATATATTAAAAGCACCATGAAACATACAAACGTAAATGTTCAATCAATCAAACAATTTTAGTCCTAAATTCATTAGTATGACAAGCATCCAATATCTCTTGTAATATAATAAAAAAATACTCGTAGTAAAAAGAAGAAAGAAGAAACTGTGTCGAATCCTTGATAATGAGAAAGATTAGAAGCCACCGACGGTAGAGCCGAACTGTGGACCTAGCATCCTTCCATCTAGAAGGATTGAAGAGAGTTGTTCTCACTGTTAAGAAGCAGAGCCGTGAGCCATAAATCCGTAATACACTGAGTTAGGGATGTTAGAGTTTTTGAAATGGGTCTTTGGTGTTTAATTCTTTATATACTTATATGACATATACGATTTAGTGTACACAATTTAGCATATATACTTATTATTCTTATATACTCCCTCCGTCCTGTTGGAATGTTCCCGGTTTGACCTACACACATATTAAGGAAATAAACTTACCAGGGGGTAAATTTTAATGTTTTGACACTGTTTCGACACTGTTTCGACACTGTTTGACACTGTTTTGCACCATTTGACCCTGTTTTGATGTAGGATAACTTTCCATTTAGGGAAATGAGAACTTTCCCATGGGACATCCAAAAAAGGAAAGCGGGAACATTCCAACGGGACGGAGGGAGTATAAAAAGTTATAATTTATTAATAATGTTACGGATCGGGTAATGGTGCGGATACTCGCACCATTAGTGAACGAGGCGGTTTCAGGACGGAGAACGGGGCGGATTAGTATAGAACCATAACCGCACCATTATCCATTTAAGAAAACCGGGTATTCCCTGCCCCATACCCGTTCCCCAGTCAAACCGGTTTTCCCCAGTTTGACCAAATCGGTTCGGTGCGGGTATCGAACGGGTCGGTTGAAATTGCCATCTAGCATGAAGTACAAAATTATAACTGCAAATACCAATTGGGTCCCACGAAAACGGCAAAACTATTATCAATAATGTTAAGGGTCACAGAAGAAATTCAAACTACTACCTATAATGTATTAATGTTAAGGAACACAAAACAAAGACACATGATGATTGCCACGAGAAGGACGCCCCATAGGGATATGGGAGAGGAAAGGAGAAGTCGGCCAATGTATTCGAGGAAGTGTTAGGTTTTTATGCAGTGACGATACTTCTAGGATCGTTGACTTGCAGGTGGTGTGTTTGATAAATTATCTAACAGAACTTTTTTGTCACTCCCATATACTTACATGTGTTTGACATTTGCTTCTGATATTTGACCTTCTTTGATTCTAGTTTGTTACCTCAGAAAATGACATTGTACTTGTATTTATTTCCAAGTGATTTTGGTGTATTTCTATTTTTGGCATAATGAGCTGTGCTAGCTAGTGCAACTATTGAAACTAATGCAATTCACTTTTGTGTTTTGACAGCTAATGAAATATGCGACAGATTTGCTGGTGTTGGTTTTCATGCCAACATGATTACGTACCTCACACAAGTGCTAAATTTGCCCCTTGTGAAGGCATCTAATACACTTACCAACTTCGGTGGGACGTCAAGTTTCATGCCACTCATTGGTGCTCTCATCGCCGATTCTTTTGCGGGACGATTTTGGACCATCATTGTTGGGTCTATCATTTATGAGATGGTAAATCCCCCTCTATGTGTGTCTTGTGTTAACATGTAAATAAATGGAAGAGAATTGCTCACTGGTCCTAATACGATTATGACTTAACATATTATTCATAAAACTCTTTTACCATGGTTAAATTACCATCCTTCTCACAGAAGCGTACTTTCCTATATTGGTCACAAGAAGTATGCTTTACGCGACAACATTACGAAAAGATCATCCGTTATAGACAAACAACTTAAGAAAAGTTCATCCAAAATGCAAAATATGAATCTGTTTTGGATTCCATCTTACACGGTCAACTTAATATGAGAGATACTTCGAGTACGTAGTATAAGACCTTATATGCTTGTGCCTTATCAATTTATCAGTGTGAGATGACTTGACATGCGCTTAAAGACGGTGGCTCTTTAGAATCAACAAATCTTGAAGTTCATGTGTCGTTTTTTAGTCATAGTCAAATTGATTGCTTATTCAAGTCTAAATGGTTCTGATACCATATTAAAACGTGATAGGAGAAGTAGACGTGTAATCATAGGCAAAATTTGTAGTTTCATATTCGGTCTGTGTTAGATGACTTAATGATCTATTATATGTTTTTTACAACAGGGAATGATAAGCATCACTATCTCAGCCATCATGCCACAACTCCGTCCTCCACCATGCCCCACTCAGAAGGACTGCCATGAAGCTTCACACAATCAGCTTTGGGTCCTCTATATTTGTCTACTACTGACATCTATTGGTGCTGGAGGCATTCGGCCTTGTGTTATAACTTTTGCAGCTGATCAGATTGACATGTCAAAGACAAAAGTAGAGGGTCGAAAATGGAATTTCTACAATTGGTACTATTTTTGCATGGGGTTGGCCACACTAACAGCTCTTACCGTCATTGTTTATATCCAAGATAATGTGAGTTGGGCTTGGGGTCTCGGGCTTCCAACCATTGCTATGGGATTATCGGTTATTGTTTTCATTTTAGGATCCCCTCTTTATAGAAAAGTAAAACCCGGAGGTAGTCCACTGGTAAGATTGGCACAGGTGATTGTTGCATCTGTTAGGAAGAGAAATGCTGTCATGCCTGCTGATTCAGGTCTCCTGTATGAGAATAAACAACTTGATGCTGCAATCTCACCCAATGGGAGACTTCTGCATACCGATCAGTTCAAGTAAGTGACATTTCAATTTATAAAATGTTACCATTTACCACAACTATAGTCTGTGTGGTTATATATGATATACAAACTAGAAGATCAACTTATAAACAAATGGTTTCAAATTGTGGTTTCTTTTAATTTTGTCCTGCCAAACAACACTATAATGTGTTTCAAGCATGAAAAAGAAAGTCCATTTAAGAAGTGTTTTATGGTAGGTGATTTAATCAGCCCATTAAGGGTCCGTTTGGAACTGAGGAAACACTAGGCAAAGAAAATTCTGGCGGAAATAAAAGTTGGATTCAAACTCAATGAATTTGTATGAAGACATTTTCTCAACCCCATTTCATACATTTAATTCTATTAAATATTGATCAAGAAATCTAAATATAGGGAAACTGAATTTTAAAACTAATCAATTTCCTTTTCCTTCTCTAATGTAATGCCAAACACAATAGAATAGCTTTGCTTTACACTTTTTCCTTTCCAAACGCACCGCAACTTATTTCTATGTAATTTCTTGTACTGATGTTTCAAGGTGTATTGACCGAGCATCTGTAGTAACAGATTCTGACATGAATGAACATAACGAGCCAAACCCGTGGAGGCTTTCCACTGTTCATAGGGTGGAGGAACTGAAGTGCATCCTCAGAATGTTACCCGTTTGGGCAGCTGGCATATTACTCATCACCTCATATTCACATATTGGCAGCTTTACCATCCAACAAGCACGCAGTATGGATCGCCACCTCTCCCACTCATTCCAAATCCCTCCAGCCAGCATGTCTGTCTTCACTATCTTAACTGTCCTTATAGGACTTGCTCTATATGAGCGCGTTTTTGTACCTTATATTCGTAGGTTCACCAAGAACCCCTCAGGCATCACATGCCTCCAGAGAATGGGCGTAGGCTTTGCAGTTAACATCCTTGCCACCATTGTTTCAGCCCTTGTTGAGATAAAACGCAAAGCAGCAGCCAAACAACACAATCTTCTCGATCAACCTACTGCCGTAATACCCATAAGTGTCTTTTGGTTAGTTCCTCAATATTGCCTGCATGGGATAGCAGAGGTTTTCATGTCGGTCGGTCATCTTGAGTTTCTGATTGAGCAATCCCCAGAAAGCATGAGAAGCACTGCAGCTGCACTCAATTCTTTGACTTTTGCATTGGGAAATTACATGGGTACTCTTGTGGTGTCTCTAGTGCACAACTACACTGGCACAGAAGCGAATTGGCTTCCAGACCGAAATCTAAATAGGGGGAGATTGGAAAACTTCTATTGGCTCATAACAGGAATACAAGTACTCAATCTTGTGTACTATATCACATGTGCTATGTTTTATAGATATAAACCTCTGGGAGAAGACGTTGGTTGTGACGAAGGAGATGTGGAGTTAGCTAAGGATAAAGTTGTATCTGCTAATAGTCATGACAAAGAAGTAGAACTATTAGGCAATGGTAAATTTTAGTCATTTGCAGGATTGCAGAGATGTGGGTAACATATGTCATATTTTGTAGGTATAAGTGAGAAGGAACTGATATGCTTGTGAACTATATGTGAGAGAACAAACATACCCCCCTTTCTTTTTGTAAAATTAAACACAAATCGCAAAGTTGGAAGAAGCATGCTCTTTGATATATAGTTCAAAGATATATTTGTTCCAATTTTATAATTTTGTTTTCAAATGTCCCCAAAATAAGATGAGAGGTATTCATGATGTCTCGCTTATAATTTATGGCTATATTTGTTCCTTCTCTCTTTTATATATAGTATAAAATATAGAATATCAAAAAGAAATATGTCAATGTGGTTGTATATATTTTCAAGCAGTTTTGGGCTCTTTCTCTTTTTAAACCTATAACTGCAGATTAATAAACTAATAATCTTCTCCTATTCTAATGACCCACCACTGTCTCTTATTATTGACTGGCCTTAGCTTTGCTAAAACAGGGGGTTTCTAATGAGAAAAAGTGATTTCTCTAGTCTTTTGTGTATTGTACTACTGTGCAAAAGTATATAACACCAAAGATTAGTAGTTTACAACTTTTTTAATTAAATCATTGAAATTCTAAATAATTCTAGGTTTTGTCATTATTACATTGAATTCTTTCTGCTAGTTCTTGTAAAATGTTGATTTTGTTAGGAAATTGATGTAACGTACCTCGAAAGTACGGCAACGGAAGTTTAAAAATTTCCCAAACAGATCTTCCTTGATTATGACAAAATAATGAATATGATAATAATAACAGATCTGAATTAGAACTTACAGATCTTCCAGCCTAGTGGTGATAATCCTTGACCTTTTGTATCCACGTGATTTCTCCTTCCCGAAAGAACGGTTAGATCTCCCTAAGAGAAAGGCTAGTAAATCTCTTCGCAGGGAAATAAACTGGTAATACTGAATCTGAAAACTTGTGTCTAATTATGAAGGAGGTGGATGTATTTATACTAGTTCTAAACTAGTTTCTGAATCACAATGAAAGTCTTTCTAATTAATGAGTCCTAATCCCGCTAGGACCAATACTCCTTATTAATTAAATAAGTAGATAAAACAAACCAAAATAATAATAATATTAACCACAATAGAGAAGTTGTCTTACACCACTCTCTATTTATTATATATATTATTATTTAGTTTATTTACTTTTCTTTTTAATTCTAAATTACAAAAGACAATATCAACTTTATTAAATAATAAATACATCTTAATTAAGTATAATAAATCTAATTTATCACACTTAATTAATTCTATAAAATAGAACACATCATGAATTAAATATATTTAATCTAATTAATATTTAATCCATTTTCAGTATTATGAATTAAATATTATTTAATCCAATTAATAATATTTAATTTCCTTCTAACAATTCAATCGGGAGGTATAATCACTTATTGTGTGACCCATAGGGCCTTATATATTAAGCACTAATCAAATTAAGGTCTTAGTAGAATCCTTAGACGATTTACCAGACAATCTTAATATATAAGGACGTTTGCGAGGACTATTCAAACTCCCTGCAATATAGAGCTTGACAGGCCAAAATGTGTAGTGTGAAATGGTGTAAAAATGTAAATGGAAATGATGTTTTAATTGGCTTATAACGATATAGTATAGAGTAAGTGAGTATCGTTCCGCTAGAGAATGGCTCAAAAAGAGAACTAGAATTAACGATTGATTTTTAGCTAATCACAAATTAATAACATTTTACAATGGAGCTAAGTGAACAGATTTTTTTATCTCGTTTTTTTTTTGTCAATGCGGGATTGCTAGAGTAAAATAAATCACAACACTTGGTAATTTAACAATTAATGATATAGAGAAAATTAGACTTGGGCTAAGAGTAATTTTATTTTGATGTTCATAATAATAAAGATTTAACTAATTAACTTAGTTACTTTTAGGTGTGTGAAAGATTTACAAATGGTAATCTTCTAATCGTTCCCACGACTTAGTTAATTACACTATCTCAAATTAATTCCGCTCCCGCGGTAATTTTATTAAGACAGTAAAAAGTACAAAATCAAATTATCCTAAATTCCTTAACACTTCCGTGTAGCAATTTAGTGGGTGAATTAACAAAATGGATTTTAATGAAATTTCACTCCCGTGATAATATTCATTTCCCAATATAATGTATTTAGCAGATAAGAATATTCAACCCAACACTCCTAAAATTAACCAAGTAATAGTTTTAACCAATTATTATCGTATGAACATTAACAGTAAAAATTACATCTTGCCCAAACCTAAACTAATTTAGTTGCACATAATTACAGTAAACGAAATAAAAGTAAAACTAATGATAGACATAATTAATTTAACAGATTAAAGAAAATAAAATGAGTATTTGAATAAGAACCTGATGGCATAAACAATGAGATGGAATAGAGAAAGTGAAATCCTTAAGCTGAGAATGATTCTGGCTGATACTTCCCAAATGAACTTGATTGTTGAAATTAAAGAACTAAAATTCTGGAAATGGAAATTACGAACTAAAATTTACAGAGAGTGTTCTTGACAGAATCACTTTTATTATATGACTACTACTATGAACAAAGCTAAAGAAAAGAGGAAGAAGATCTCTCTCCGAATTGGTGTCTTCTGCAGCTCACAAATGGCTCCTTTATATAGCAATGGAAGAAGGGGCTAGAGCATCAACAATCCTGAAATGAAGGTGTTGAAAATAATTTTTGGTCTTCAAATAGTATCATTCCTGTTCAATTGTGCATTTTTTTCTTCGTTTGCTGCTGTTCTCGATCTTTTTGATAGCAGATTGAAAGGTGATGAAGACAATTGCAATTGCAGTAGTTCATCCGTCTCTTCAGGCTCCATAAAAAATTCAATACAAAGTTCTCTTTTGTATTTCTTCTTTGAAGTTTCTTTTTTTCTACGGTGGAGCTTTATAATGAGTGGATAAAACATTAAAATGTAATCACCCACTCAGCCAATCAATAAGACTTTGAAACTTTTCGGCCATTTGTTTGTTTCGACCGGTTGACTGTTTGATCAGTTAACCGGTCGGCAATTAACTGGTACATTTTATTTCAGATAATCTGATTTATTCTGAAGTGTATTTCAGGTCTTTTGATAAAATATTCCAGAGTTAAAGTAAGGACCCGCTTCACTTTGATGGTTTTTCTGTCTTCACTCAGGAGTAATATTTACTTCTTTTCAGAAATTAATATACGTCCCGAATTATCCTGAAACTCAAAAATATACCAAAACAAGTGCAATACCTTAAAATGTCCAAGATGATAAAAATCAATCCTTTTTATTTAAAAAATGAGAAATAAAATATTAAAAGTGTGACAAAACAAGATCATAAATATGGTAAATTAGGAGTACATCAACTCCCCCATACTTAAGATTTTGCTTGTCCTCAAGCCAAAGTATTTACATTCACACAAACAAGCAAGCAAAAATGAATTTGCCAAATCATATGTATAACCTTCAAATCATGCACACTTTCCTTTCACTCCACCTGATCAATCAAATTCCCTTGACTTGTCACAAAATAAGAGTAGTGAGAATCATAAAAATATTTTTCATATCATCTGAAAAGTTTTGGTCAAATCTTAACTCTAACAAACGCAAAGTGTGTGATGTGAAAATGGAATCTAGTTTCGTTTGTTCAACCATGCAAAATTATGCAAAATAAGATTTTCCTATCAATTTATTTCAGACAAAACACAATTAAGATCAATTAGGACTTTTCACATTGGGTTATAATGGGGTCTGTGGGAAAAGGCTTATGAACAAAGGGAGTTAATGAGGAAACAAAAGAAATGAATTTGTCATAAATTCAACAAATTTAAAGAGGTACTAAGTAGTGAGTATGAGCTTTTGACAATAATCTATACAACACTTGTTATTTTCAACAGTTAGGGGTAGTAAAAAGAGTAATTTAATGTACAAGAAAAATATACAAAAGAGAGAAGCATATACATTGACATTTAGCCTTGTTCTTCTTTTTTTTTATCTATATATTTTTTCTTTTTTCTTTTTTCTCTTTTTTTTATTTTTTTTTTCTTTTTCAATTTTTTTTTTGATATTTTTTTCAAGGCTTATTTCATGCTTCTAACAATAAGAATTTACAAGAATAATATGTACAATGATGATACAATAAGAACAACTACCCCTATAAATGAATATTAACAACTAAGTAATCACAAAAGTGTAAATGAAGCTCCCTTAAGGTGAATGACACTCTCTAAACTCATTAAAATTTTATGCAAGTTCATTTTAGGGTGGATGGATAGTGATTGGCTTTTAGGCTAAGGGTCACATGTAACAGGGTTTCATGAAAGAAAATAACAAAAATAGGGTTAAGCGTATAACGCTTATTAAAAAAAATGGCTCAAAGGGGTGAACAAGGGATATTTATCACATGGGTAAGGCTAGGTATATGGGGTTTATGAAAAATGGCCTATATCATTTCCTAATGTGCTAAATCAGAAAATCATGTCAAGGAAAATAAAAGCATAGAGCACTCTTGTTTTGCACAATCTTAAACATGTTGAACAACAATTTCACTAGATAACCATTTGCGTGCATGAGATGTAATGTGTCTGTACAAAGTTTAAAATTTGACCAAAATTTTACTCAACGTTCAAAATTATGATTCTCAATCCAATTTTTAAGAAACAAGTCCCGCCAACAATCCACATACCATGTGAAAGAATAGAATGCATGATTCGAAAGTTAAACAGATGATAAGGCAATTCACAAGCAAACAAACAAACATGCGTACTCTCCCCCCACACTTAGGATGAAACATCGTCCTCGATGTGACAAATATATACAGGGCGGGTGAGTAAATGGGTGGGAAAAAAAAAATCATGCAATGCAAACACACAAACAAAACACACATACAAATGCAAGGAAATAAACTTGGGTTGCCTCCCAAGAAGCGCTATTTTTAACGTCGTGTGCCCGACATTACCTGAGTGTTTTACTCGTAAGGAGGATTGTCCAGATCAACAGTGAGTTTCTCCTTTGTGTCATCTCCTTCATGATATTGCTTAACTCTTTGGCCATTGACAGTAAATTGCCTCCCATCATTTCCCTCCAGAATGATTGCCCCAGATGGATAGGCTTTGATAACTTTGAAAGGTCCAGACCATTTTGATTTCAGCTTTCCTGGAAAGAGTTTTAGCCTTGAGTTGAATAGTAGCACACTATCTCCAGAAGAAAAGTCTCTCCTAAGGATTCTCCCATCGTGCCATTTCTTTGCTCTTTCCTTGTAGAGTCGGGCATTCTCAAAGGCATCAAGTCTGAATTCTTCAAGTTCATTTAGTTGTAACAACCTCTTTTGCCCCGCCAGAGTGGAGTCAAGGTTTAGGCTTTGGATAGCCCAATATGCTTTGTGTTCAATCTCCACTGGTAAGTGACAAGACTTCCCATACACCAATTTGAACGG